TAATTAAGCATGTGATGAAAATTATTCCAATTTTGTGTGTAGAGAATTGCTTGTGTACTGAAATTCTTGTGCGTACCTTAACGGATGCTTACGTCTGCCTGGTGTCCCTTTGCACCTCAGGACCTGGGGGTGAACCTTCAGGTCCCTGCACGCGTAGCCCGTGCGTGCTTCATAGGCCGCGCGGCCGGAGTCCCGGCGCAGCAGGGTCCCGCACCGTGGGAAGCGGCGCTGGGACGGGACCGGTGGCGTTTTTGGAGCCGAGTGGGATTTTCTCCCCTGCACGGTAACGCGGCCCCTGGTAAAAGGCGGCGATGTGAGCCGTGGTGCCCGGCTGTGCTCGGGGGTAGGTTTTGGACAGCTCAGCGTTTCTCCAAGAGCTTGTCCAGAAAGCGTGGGGCTGCCCGGGACAAGCCCGTCCTCCCCAGGAGATCTCCAGCAGCAGGAGGGGACCTGGGCTGAGCCCCTTTGGTGGCACAGGTTCACATCTGTGGGCGTGAACATTTCCCCTTCTGCAAATTTAAAGGTGGAAAAGGACAAGCCAGAGAGTCCTGGCCGTGCTCATCTCCAGTATTTTTTGATTTGCTGTTACCTTTAAAGATGGTCATTTTGGATAAATTCAGAATAGCTGCGTAGCCTTTTCCAAGTATGTTGTTGTAGACAGCGAGGCGTTCGTGTGCACGTACCTCACCAGAATCAGAAGAGACCAGATGATGAAACACCGTTTTAATCTGTCTCTGATGGCTCTGGAAGCGATAGAATGACAGTACCTTTTTGTTGTCATTAAAATTGATTTGAAAAGCCAAAGAAAACCAAACAACTCTTGCTCTATAAAATATTACTCATGGAATTAATTGTGTAGTAATGTACATCTAAGTTACAGCTGGAAATCCTAGCTTAAGAAATGGTCTCTAAGGCTATGGAAACCAGGATTTCGGTCCGTTCATACGTGTGTCCTGCTGGGCATCTCTGTAAAACTGGAGGGGCTGTTGTGCGTCCGCTGTTGGTGGATTGCTCCGTGTAATTGGAGGCACCTTAGACTTCAGTGTTGGAATTGATGGTTCCTCAGCGTTTCTTTATATCCAGAGAGTTCATCAAAGTTAATAGTTTTGCCAGGGGCTTTGACAGAAGCAGGAAAAAGAAACTGTTGTTGCCTCAGGTCCCAATATCTTCTTGAGCTGGAAAATGGTTCACTGTCTTGTTAGAGATAGCCAAGTTACAAGTGTCTCCAGTGACATTATTGTGCTGTAGGTAGCATGACAAGCATCACGCTGACCTCTTCCTCTTCTGTAAATGCTTTATTTATCATTCTTTCTTCAAAGCAAATATGGATTAAATTTATCACAATCCCTTGCAGGGTAATTTCTTTATCATGCTGCTGATTGTGTCTTGCAGGAATTTCTCTTATCCTGACTTAATGGCAAAAAAAACCACCACCAACAAACAAACAAAAAAACCCCAAACCAAACAAACCAAAACAACAACAAAAAAGAGATAAATAGTAAAACGTTTCCTTTTCTGGTGTTCTTCCTGCAGCCGCTTGCAATTAATCTTCCCCGTGCCCCCAGGTAGCCCGTGCTGCTGTCCCGGGGAGGAGACCGCCAGGAGCACGGCACGGAGCTGCTTTGTGGGGACGGCGAGTGGATCGCAGGGGTCTCGTTGCTGCCTCCCCTCTCCCCCCGCCCCGTTGATGTTACCGATCTAGGAGCACCTCTCGGTACCCGTTTTGCTTTGTTCTAGACCGCCGCAAGCCCACGGAGGGCTCTCACCGGTTCAGACGGGGCACCACGCGTGTACGTGTACGCCTGAGTTATTGCTTAAGAAAATCCGTGCTTTGTGTATATATTTTTACGTGTGCCTCAGGACATGTAGCCTTCTCCATTGTCTACCCTGTACGAACCTCCGCTGGGAGGTTAAAACAGTGTTGGCACTGTCCTCTCATTCCCTCTTTTCTTCCCCTTCCCCTAGCTGGCTGGCACGACGGTGGCTTGCTAATGAAGCCCTGTCCTAGGAGGGCTGCACTGCAGGTGAAGGCTGAAGTGTGGGAGGAAGCCCGTAAAAATATTAAATGTGCTTCTTAACATTCTTACGATTTTCAAGCCTCTTAGGAGGAGAGCACCAAAATAAAAACATGGGGATGTGATATACTGGTGTGCGAGAGCGGCGGGACCAGTGGTTCTTGCCGTGCGTACGGGTATATATGCACATGAAAATGTTCCTGGGTGTGTGCTGCAAATGGTGTTTGTTTGCAAAATACTCATCTAAGGTGACTTTTTGGTTGTCGCGAGGCCTGATCCTGCATCCGCGAAGCCCAGCGTTCAGGGGTTGCTCTGCATAGCGCTGCCAGCTCCTGAAGAGAGGCGATGCTGTCTTCATCCGCTGCTGGGAGCGGCGAGGGCTTGGAGGTCCTGTGAGGGAGGAGGCGAAGAGGGGCTTACGGGGGATCCCCAGCTGGTGGGGACTAACCATCCTCTTCCACTCCTTCGTACGGGAAAATGGCAGTTGTCCTCCCGGTTGTTCCGTTCAGCACGTTTGGAAATTTGTTTAGTTTTTCCCTGCTGGATGGGGGTCATGGTTTTCTGAGGTGTTTCATTTGCATTTAAAATTAATTAATCATCCTTTACCAAGTAAGGTCTGTAAGATACCCTGGCTGATGGCAAGTTGGTATCGTGCAAATGCGTTATTGACCATTCAGTGAACTTGGCGTTCTGGCCCCAACTCCTAAAGCTTCGTGAACCTCCTACTTTTTCCTAAGATTATTTTTTGGCAAAGCTTTACTTTTCCCCGAGTGGTTCTTTAGCCGTGTTAACCCTTTATAGGAATGTGACCTTCTAATTTTATAAAATGTTATTTCTTTCATATGATTTATTATTTTATATCCATTTCTGTTGTTGGAAAAGATTATTAAAAAAAATGGAATTTGATTAGAAGTATGCACTCTGTTTTAAATTCTTTTTCATCTGTTAGGAGGGCGAACCCCACAAAGTCCAGTGATAGGCGGCTTTCCAGTCTGCCCTCAGGAGCACGCCAGTGATAATATGCGAACGTGCATTAAAATGGCAGCTTGGAAAACACGCTGGCTAGGAGAGAAAATCGCCCTGCAGCTGCTGGAATGGTATTTCCATAGAGAACGTCAGCAGGTCATGGTAGAAGACATGGGCTTTCCCTGTTTCAGTAGTAATTGTGGACTTTGTACTTCCAGCTGGGCAAAAGCAGATGTTTAACATTGCTTGGACCTACAGGAAAGCCTTTAAAATAGCACTGTTATCTTCAGTTTTTGAGAGAGACCTTTTTACATTACAGAAAGCTTTGGGATTCAGGGTGAAGTCAGAAATAGACGGCAGGTCCGTGGGCATGCAGCTGGGCAGCCTCTGAGTGGTGTAAATGGGGTTTCCTTTAGGCTTTCTGTAGTCCCAGTTTCTACTTTCTTCTTCATTTGAACAATCTACTACAAAATACTCAGATTTGTCTTTTCTTGGAGAGTTCCTGGCTTCCCCTGCTGTCTCCTGGTCGTTGGGGTGGGAGACGAGGGGGTGGAGGAGAGAAGAGGAAAAATCATCATGATTTTCATGGTGCGTATTTTATTTTACTCGTACAGGTAATTCAGATTATTTTCAACAGAATATATGTCTGTCTAACAGCAAAATGCATGCTTCATTAGCATAATTAGCTTTATCATTATTATTGTTGCTAACATACCCTCCTTTTGAACGTGTCGTACCTTTTCAAGGGCCTGTACCCGGGCTGCATCACCCGGCTCCAGCCGCAGAAGGGGAAGGTACCTCTGCCCCGGCTGGGAGGGCTGTGCTGGTCCGCAGCTCCGAGCAGCGAGGAGGTACCCTCTCGTGTCGTCGCTAGCCCAGACAGCACCCAAGACTATTCTTGAGAAAGAAAAAGTGACCTTTATAATGATAAAATGTTGTTATAGCTGCATTCATAAAAGACGACCAGTGTCTCCATGTTGGTGAGAGTTACGTTTAATAATCTGCTTTGGCACCTGGAATCTGAGAAAGAAAAAATCAATGAAGAAGTTTATAGCATGCAAGTGTGTTTTCCTAATAGAGTGAAGTTTCCAGAAATGGACCGTATTACCGCGAAATGCAGCGAGGTTGGGATGAGAGGTGTTTGACAGCACAGGAGTCGTTAGTGAGACGAAAGGGCAGTAAGCTCTGCAGCTCGGCTCGTGCTTGGGAAATACGCTGTTATTCCCAGCGGCTGCCTGAAACCGGGGACACGTCCCCGTGTTTTTGAAACGGTGGCTTCTAAGCAGGGTGTGGGGACGGCTGATGGGACGCCTGAATTTACGTCCGAAATGAGATGATGTGGTATGGGTCTTTCGGTTTCTGAAACAAGGTTTCGTGCACAGTTAATGGGAAACTAATGTTCAGAGTTTGACCTCAAATTCGGCAATAGCCACGAATTCTCAAGGATTGAGTAGCCTGGTTTAATTAGCATAGTTTTAGCAGCAGACCTGGATTACTACTCTATCATGAATAATGTATATGAGCAATTTAGTGATTTTTCCATTTTGTGAATTGTCTGAGCAGACCGTGATTCCCTTGGATAAAGCTGCTGTTTTAAATTGTCAGCAAAATAATTTCCCACGGATGCAGTGGGACAGAAAGAGTTTGTGATGAGTAACAGTAGAAACTGGAGGTGTGTTATTTAGTCTTAAATAAGAAAACTGATCTTGCTGTAATCTGTTCTGAAAACATTAATATATCTTTGCAAATTCTTATTTTGAGAGCCGCGTTTTTATTAATTTAAAATTTCCACCGATCCTTGTTTGCTGAGAATCAATGGACGTCATGGCCGGACTAGACCAGTAAGTCAACTAAAGACAAAACTGATCTTTTTAACTGTGCAAACGGGTCTAGAGAGCAACGTTTAGCAGGAGGTTAAAAGAGCGTTCTGTGAAATAAGGCTGAAAAAAGTGAGTTTTTTTAAAGGCATTTTGGTTTATTGGGGAAAAAAAATAACGTTTCCTTGTGGTTTGAATGCAGGTTCTGCCTCCAGAATGGATGCTCATGGGGGCCCTTTGATGCCAACGCAAGTCACCCGGGTAACTGCTGTGTCTGCACCGGCGGTGACGTTCATGGCAACCAATTTGGTGGATCAGACGTTAACAGGTCTGTTTATGTTTCTATATACTGATGGTATTACTGAAGCATATGTTGTATATTTGCCTGCTTCCAACCAAGCCATGCTTTCCATACTGCATAGTAATGGGGGACCCTTATAAAATCGGCTCAAATTTTATGACATTTGCTTGAGCTAATTATGAGCGTGTTCAGGTGCTGTTTACTCGGTCTGGCAATTGGCAGTAGCTTTGCATTTGATGATACAAAAGGCAAGTTTCTGAAACGTCCTTGGGCTTTTCATTTCCCATGCCAGTGGTATTCACAAGCATTACAGTGATAATGTGGTTATCTTTTGGATAGTTGCTCCATGAAGCCTTGTTGGCTAAACCTCTGAGGATGCTTTACGCTGTACTGTGTGATAAAACTGGTTTATTCACTGTCATGGAAATGTCTGTGTGTTGTCGTGAGAGGAGGGGCAATGCTGTTCCCAAAGCCTGGAGGAAGTCTTGTGGCTTTATTTAGATTTACACATATGCGTTGCAAATCACGACCAAAAAGCAATCGGATTCGATAGGAAATTGTGAACATCTTTCTTAATAACGTGAACTTCCTCGTACAGCGCTGTCGTCGTGAAGCCAGGAGCTCTGTCAGTGGAGGCGAGATGCTGCGATGGGGCTGGACGGGTTGCTCCGCTGCCCGAGCCGGGCGCGCACTGCCGGGGGGGGGGCGGTGCCAGCCAGCCCTCGCGGGCTCTGCCGCACTGCGGCCTCCCGAACGCACCTTCCCAGCCGTGTTTCATGGAAAAAAACTGGTGTTTATCAGGAATTACTAGATATCCGTTTAGGTGTGATTTATCTGATCCTTCACACCTAGGGATTAGTACGGTTGTGGAGGTGTTGAAGGGTTGTGTACTGGAAATGAATGTTCTTGTACTGTGTTTGGTCACATACGGGTTTTTGGTATAGAAGCTCTCGCTTGTCCAGCCAAGCCGTTTCCTTCGTGGGTACCGCAGGCTCACCGGCTCCATCCATGGCTAAGATAAGAGTTTCCTAAAATCCTTCACGGTCAGCTGTGCTAGGCAAACCTGTAAGTGGGGCTGGAGGCTCCCTTTGAAGCAGCTCTGCCTGCTGCTCCGCCTGTCTTGAATGAGATCCTCTGCTGAATTTATGCTGCCGAGTATTCCAGCTCAGTCTGGAAACTGCTGAAAATTTTATGACACAGACACCTTAAAAATGAAAGAAAGTTCATAGACTTCTCTTTTGACATGCTTCAGTTTTGAAACCAGACAAGTTTATTCTCTGGTTTGCTTTGCTTTTGGTAAACACCTACTGCTTTTGTCCTCTATACAGTTAGTGTGCTTGAAGACCTGCATACTCTTCCTTAAAGTCACCGAGAATTGTATTGCTTTGCTTTCTTGTCAGAAGTGAGATGGAGGAAATATTAAAACTGTTCAAAGACGGGGACAGAAGGATGAAGATTTGCGCAAGGGTCATGCTGATCTGCAGCTTGTTGCTTGCTGAAAACTGAAATCGTGGTTTCTAATATATTTCATATCAAATATATTTCTGTTGTGGTTTAACCCCAGCCAGCAGCTCAGCCCCCCCCAGCCGCTCGCTCCCCCCCGGTGGGATGGGGGAGAGGATCGGAAGGGTAAAAGTGAGGAAACTCATGGGTTGGGATAAAGACGGTTTCATAGGTAAAGCAAAAGCCGCGCACGCAAGGAATTCATTCCCTGCTTCCCATCGGCAGGCGGGTGCTCAGCCATCCCCAGGAAAGCAGGGCTCCATCACGCGTAACGGTGACTTGGGAAGACAAACGCCATCACGCCGAACGTCTCCCCTTTCCTTCTTCTTCCCACAGTTTATATGCCAAGCGTGGCATCCTGTGGTGTGGGATGTCCCTGTGGTCACTGGGGGCAGCTGTCCCGGCCGTGTCCCCTCCCAGCCCCCTGTGCCCCCAGCCTGCTCGCTGCTGGGGCTGGGGGGGAGGCAGAAAAGGCCTTGACTGTGTGCAAGCACTGCTCAGCAGGAGCTGACACATCCCTGCGTTATCTACGCTGCTTCCAGCACAAATCTGAAACATAGCCCCGTAACCAGCTACTCTGAAGAAAATTAACTCTACCCCAGTCAAAACCAGCAAATCATTACAAATCTCCAGAGAAATAAAGGGGTGAGGGGAAGAGATTGCTGCAGAAGGAAAGAAGCGCTGCTCAAGGAGACTTGTTCTAAGAGGGGAGCCAGGGCGTTTGGCAGGGCACAGCAAAACTGGTCGGGACAGAAATTAGACACTAATTAAAGGGTGAGATACAGCGTGCAGGCAGGAGCAGGCTCTGTTTCCCTGGCGCAGTGACGATGGGCTGAAGGTGGGGTCCCCACCTGCGGGAGCAGGGCATGGGCCCGGCTGACGCCGCTGGCGCTGAAATCCCACACTTGGCTCAAGCAAGAATCAACAGGGGAGAAATTGTGAATCAGTCAGATACGGTTTTTAGGCTAATCTCAAAACCGAAAAGCAATAAGGTTGTGGGGAGAGACAGAACTGCCCTGCAGAGATGCTGGTGGGATAACAGAACGCTGAGTGTTTCGATGTGTGCACTTGAAGTAAGTCCAATTCTCGGAAACATTTAGAATCAAAATTTTAAACTTCTTTTGAGATTAACAGAGGTTTTGCCTCTAAATAACTTTGAAAAGCAAATTTTTATTATCTCTTGTCCATAGATTCTTGTGGCATGAATCAATCTTCCCTCTTGCTCTCCTTCTCTAATTCTGCTTTTAAGAAGATGTTTATGATCACACACCTACATCCTCTGTGATATACTCAAGATAGTTTTGCTATTCACCTTTACTTTTCATATTCTGAATTATTCATGTCTCTCTACCTGCCGTGGAGCCTCAGAGAAGTCTCTTTAATCAGGTATCTTTATCCTCCCGTCTGCAGCGCATCCTTCGGCAGCGGTACAGCAAGCACGGGAACACGTTAGTAATTACGCTGCTAAGTTTAGGGGCAAAAATAGGCGCGTGATTATGTTGGAAATATGTCGTGGTAGCTTAATTGTCAGGCTGCCGTTTATTTTATGCACTCTAAGTTAAAGAGGGGGGGAGAAAAAGGTTAATGAGAAAGGAATAAACCTGAGCAAAGACATGTGCCAGTTGCCAGCGGAGAGTAAACGTGCGTCTTGCTGGCTGTCCTTCCCAGCCTCTGCAGAGAAGAAATCTTTAGTGATCTAAGAAGTCCTAGCCGTGGTCTGCTCGGCATCCAGGGGCGAGCCGAGCCCGGGAGGGCGGCTGGGCACTCCTCGCTCCAGGCGGGACACGCAAGCTTGAACTACTTCTCTCTTGACATTGTACTTGGGGAAAACGATCACGATGTTCACCTATAGATATAAAAAATAAACAGCTCCTGACAGCCACAGTGACTTTCAGGACTTTCTTTTGTTATTTTAATTTTTTTATTTCCATCTTATTTTATATGTGCTGACTGTCCAAAATTTTGTGGAAGTCTGTTTGACGCGTGAGTGCCTAATGAGCTGCGCGCTGCAGAAGTTCACCTCCGTGCGCCACGCCGGTGGTGCTCTGTTTCTTCAAGCAAAAGCTGCAGCACCCGAGCCCCTCCCTGGGGCTTCAGCTTTCCTGTTCGGATGCTGCGAGGAAGCTTTTCAAAGGAGGAAAAAAAGAGCGGCTGCCTCCGGCGCTG